TAAATAAAGAAAATACTGTATATGTATAATGTGGAATATTATTCTCCCATAAAAAGAATAAAATCCTGTTATTTGCAACAACATAGATGTAACTGGAGGACATTATGTTAAGTGAAATAAGTCAAGCACAGAAAGACAAATATCCCATGTTCTAACTCATATCTAGCAGCTAAAAAAACTGATCTCATGGAGGTAATGAATAGAATGGTGTTTATCACAGGCTGAGAAGGGCAGTAGGGAGGAGGGAATAAAGAGGGATTGATTAATGGATACAAAAATACAGGTAGATAGAAGAAATAAGATCCAGTGTTTAGTGGCACAATAGGGCAACTATAGTTAACAGTAAATTACTGCATATTTCAAAATAGCTAGAAGAGTAGATTTGGAATGTTCCCAACACAAGGAAATGACAAGTGTTTGAGGTGATGGATACCCTAATTACTCTGATTTGATTACATATTATATGCTTATATTATAATATCACATGTATCCCATAAATATGTATAACTATTCTGTATCCATAAAAATTAAAAATAAAAAAAAACTGAAAAAGAAGAAATAAAAAAACCTCAAGAAAAAATGACAAACATAAATGAATGAATAAAGAAAGGGAGGGAGGGAGGGAGCAGCTGCTAGGTGAGGAAAGGCCCATGTGCTGCACTTAGAAACCAGGCTTTCTTCTATGGATATTCCACGGGAAGATCACTGGTTCTGCTGCCTACAGAAAAGAGCTTAAACTCCAAATCCCAGCTGGCCCAACTTAACTTTCAAGCTTCATTTCTTCCTGTTCCCACTAACTTACTTTCCAGAAAAACCATCACTAGAATGTATCGTGGTTTTTTTTCAGACACATTATTTTCATTGTAAACACCTTTCTCCTTTTCCACTCACAAAGTTCCTATTCACGGTTTGAGAGCCTCCTCTCTCAAGCCCTTGCCAACTCTCTCACACAGAATTGATTCTTTCCTTTTCTCTATTTGCATACCAGTGTTTGGTATCTCTCTTAGGTCACTTACTCTTCTGTTTTATAATTACAGGCAGTCCCTGGCTTACAGACGACCTGACTTACGGGGTTCCGCACTTACACATGGGGTCCGAAGCCTCCCTATAAGGGTAATTTATAATAATGAAATTAATAATTTGGGAACTAGTTTGTTCTGCACATGTAAACAGATCAACATGGCATACCAGGCGTCCTCAAACTACAGCCCCGGGGGCCACATGCAGGTGTTTTTGCCCATTTATTCTTTTACTGCAAAATGAGATATGTGTAGTGTGCATAGGAATTTGTTCATAGTTTTTTTTAAACTATAGTCTGGCCCTCCAATGGTCTGAGGGACAGTGAACTGGCCCTGTGTTTAAAATGTTTGAGGACCCCTGGGCCGTAAGCGGTTCATTGGTGCAGCATCTTTACGGTAGGGGCTAGTCTTGTTTACACTGTTGCTTGTGCAACACCATCACTTTAGTCTTAACTTTTTTATTACATTTTGTGAGTCTGTGTTTACCCTTATGACTATGCCTCCAAAGTGAAAGTCTACCGCAAGTCAAGGTGAGCCTGCAGCAAAGAGAAATGTGATTAAAATGGAAATGAAAGTAGAAATAAACAGTGGGAGAAGGGCCAGATGCCATCGTTCATTGAGAAGGCATTAGGCTTTGGTTGCTCCACTATTGGAACAATTATAAAGGAAAAAGTGAGATTAATGGAACATGTAAAAAGCAATGTTTCAATGAAAGTATTGATTATTACTAAGCAGCATAGTGGATTAATTATTGAAATGGGAGGGCTATTATTGATTGGTTAGAAGATCCAAATACATGTAACATTCCTATTAGCCTAGTGTTGAAGCAACATAAGGTAAGTGTGAACCTTTAATATTCTTTTTTGAAATTTGTCCCATCTCTAATCTAAACTTTTTGTGTAAGTTTGGTTTATGTTCTGTTTGAATTAAAATAAATAGTTTCTACAACTTATTATTACACTACAAGAGTATTATTATTACAGTATTATACTGTATTATTACCACATATGAGCCATTATTGTTATTATTACCACACATGCACTGTTCATTAGGGATCTGAGTCACATACAAATCCAGCCTTAAGAGGTTCTCAGGAACATATCTCATCCATAACCCAGGGACCTCCTGTATTTTATTAGGGATTAGACTGCACTGTGCTTAAAGGTAGCAATGACAGCACTAAGTAGGTGCTTAACACAATGGACTCTCAAAATATATTGGTCTAATAATATACTCTTGCCAGATTGTAACATATACCATTTATGGGTACATAAGCCATTTTAAGGAAGTACACTGAATATATATTTAAATGGCTATAAATTAATTTTAATATCTTTTAGAAAAATTGTAACTAGCATATCAAACCCATGATTTCAGAGAGATTATTGCTTAGGAAATGGCTAAGTGAGATAAAAATATTAATCAGATTAAAGGGTTCAGGAGCGACTCCCCTCTCAGATAACCTCTACTAACTCACTCTGCTTAGTATTTTTCCATAGCATTTATCATCATTTGGCATATATATTTGTTGCTCCTCCTACCAGAGTATAAGCTCTACCAGGGAAGGAATTTGGTCCACTTTATTTGCTGCTATCCTCCCAGAATTTAGAATACCACCTGGTAAGTGGTAAGTGCTCAATCTATAGTTACTGAAAAAGAGGACTAAAGGAAAGTCAGAAGCAAGAGAGAGAAAAGGAGAGAAGGAAGGAAAGAAAGAATTACAGTAAATGCAAATAAGTAATAATATAGAAGATGCAAAAATCTAGCAATAACTGTGAATGGTAGAATGTGGTTTGGGAAACACTAGGATAGCAGACTAAAGGAACAAGGAGTTTGGATTTGGATAGGGAAGATAATAAAGGATTACAGATACTTGAGTGATAGGCTAAAGCCTTAGAACATTAGGAAATAACATAAAATTCTCTAGGTTATATAACCCAACCCCAGGGGTATTCTCATGGTTCTATCCAGAATTCTGCCATTTCTATTCTGTGATAAAACTGAAGAGTCTTTTAAAGCCATTTGGAGAACACTCAAGATTAAAGATCCTGATGGAACCTAGGTCTCAGCATTAGAGGCTCTGCCATTTTCTAGGACAAGCATGTCATGGAGAAAACAATGACAGCACCAGGAGTCAGAGCGCCTCTAGGTCTTTCTTCCGGCTCCAACATTAACTAGATGTATGATTTTGTGAGAAAGTCCTACTTTCTAAAATTTAGGAGGTTCCTGAAGACTTCTGAGGGTAAAGCAAAAAAAATAAAGAGGGGGAAACTGAGGCACGGGACTCAAAAACAACTTTTAACCTACTGCGAACACAAGTCTATTCATTGAGTGGTATTTACTGAGCATCACCCTAAGCCAGGCACTGTTGTGGACGCACAGAACATGGAGACCTGCTCACTGCCCTTAACTCAGAGAAAACAAACCTCTAAATAACAAACTATAAAATGCTATGAGTGATATAATTAAGTGAACTACAATAAAGTGCCCAGAACGTTGCCTGGATGATTAATTTTGTCCCAGCATGTTGGCAAAAGTTTTAGAGAGGAGGTAGTGTTTGGTTAGGCTTTAAACTTGACAAGTATTGGTCTAAATACAACATTTCCCAAAGGAAGATCTATATACACTGATGCAACAAAAGCTGTTTATAGATGGTACACTCAAGAAATATTTTTAGTTCCAACAGTTATGTACACATTTTACTATGTTTTTAAAAAGTTGTATCTAGATATAAAAGCCACAATTCCCAGATGGTGTTGTGTAGGATGTGGCTAAGTAAAAAATAAAAAGGTATCTACCCAAAGGGAAAAAAGACATTCTGTAAAAAAGACACCTGCACTCAGATGTTTATAGCAGCACAATTCACAATTGCAAAGATATGGAAACAACCTAGGTGCCCATTAATATATGAGTGGATTAATAAATGTGGTATATGCATACCGTGAAGTTCTACTCAGCCATAAAAAGGGGTGAACTAATACCTCTTGTATTAACCTGGATGGAGCTGGAGACCATTATCCTAAGTGAAGTATCACAAGAATTGAAAAACAAACACCACAGGTACTCACCATTAAATTGGAACTAATGGATTGACACCCTATGCACACATATGGAAATAATATTCATCGGAAATCAAGCAGGTGGTGGGGGAGGAAGGGATGGGCAAAATCACACCTAACGGGTACAATGCACACTATTGTGCATTGGGGGATGGGCACAGTACAACAGCACTTTATGTAACCAAATGGTTTTTACCCTCATAATATTCTGAAATAAAAAAGATGTAAGAGAATAGGATTGTCTTCCATAACCCTGGTTCTCTTAATCTCCCTCACTGTTTTATTTTTATTCAAACTATATGTCACCATCTGATGTTAATTTTTGAATATCTGCTATGCTATTAAGTGTCTTAGAGATGTGCATATTAACAAAAATATGGGAAAAGAAATTCACTAATACAACTCTCGATCAAATGGATCCCTGCCCCTGTTCCAGTGATCTTGCTTTAATCAGTCACTTATAGGAGCTGGAAAGCAATGTACCTGACCAATTTGCAGAATCAACTTTTGAGCTGGAAGGGACTTCAATGCTCTCATTTTACAGATAAGGAGACTGATACCCAGAAAGGGCTGGTGATTTACTCAAGGCCAAACCTGAGTGAGTGGCAGAAACTAGACTCCAACCCACATAATTTAATGACAAGTCAGTGCACTACCCATAACATCTACTTATAGGCAATACAGATGAAGAGAGTCTTCTTACTTCTCATAACAGACCACAACATACTAGAAATCAATAAAGTTAATGGGATGGTATTGGTTGCTTCATTCAGACACTCAAGTGTGAAGAGTCACCATCAATAATCAAGACGGAAAAAACAAAGCAAGGACAAAGACGAATAAGAAAATTATAATTTTCTGACCCACAGAGTTATAGTATAAATATTAGATAGTATATTATTGATGAAAACATCAGAGTTACCTCCAAGGACCATGCCAGCCTGACAGCACTTTCTAAGGCGACATGCTGGGCAGTTTTTTCTGCGGATTTTGTCAACAATGCAGTCATTTCTTCCAGCACATAAATAGTTATGCTGCCCTAAAAAAACAAAAAAAAATTTTTTAAGTTATTTTCAATATTTAAGGACCACTGGAAATTCTATGCAGGGACAACTGAAATAGAGGATAGATACACATCAGCAAGTACATGACTCTCTTAGCCAGACTCTTGCTTGGCATGACGGAATTCTGGCAATGCTACAAATCTGTCTTCAGGACCCTAAATAAGATAAACACAGCTTAAAAATCAATCCCAGAACTCCTTTAAAAATATTGTGCACAATATTTCTGTGCATCTTCTTAATGGTATTAGTATTGAATTGCCCTCAGACTTTTCTGTCATTTTAAGATTAGCTAGCTATATGTTTCTGATAAGCAGTTTAGCTGCATAAAGATCAAGCTCCAGTTAAACTTTTTCTTTTTGACACTGAAGCCTTCAAAAAAATAGATATAGACCAAAAAATTAAAAAGGGCTTTGGAATAGGCCTTTAAAAAAAGTCTATATGCTTAATTCTATTGGAAAATACTGGAGCCAATTCTTTCTTAATGGAGCTAATACTTGTGAATAGCATGTAAAAAATGTCACTTATTCTCCAAAAAATTGAAGAGGGAGGAATTCTCCCTAACTAATTCTACAAGGCCAGTATCACCCTGCTACCCAAACCAGACAAGGACACAACAACAACAACAAAACTACATGCCAGTATCCTGATGAATACAGTTACAAAAATCCTCAATAAAATACTAGCAAACTAAATCAAACAATGCATCAAAAAGATAATATACCATGATCAAGTAGGATTTATACCAGGGGTGCAAGAATGGTTCAATATATGTAAATCAATAAAAATAATACATCACATCAACAGAATGAAGGAGAAAAATTACATCATGTCTCAATAGATACAGAAAAAGCATTTGATAAAATTCAACATACCTTCATGATGAAACTCTTGATAAACTAGGCATAGAAGGAAGATACCTCAAAATAATAAAGACCATAAATGACAAATCCACAGCTAACATCATAATGAATAGGGAAAAGTTGAAAGCCTTTCCTCCAAGAACTGGAACAAGATAAGGACGCCCACTATCAACCACTCCTATTCAACATAGTACTGGAAATCCTAGCCAGAGCATGCAACCAGAGAAAGAAACAAAAGGCATCCAAATTGGAAGGAAGAAGTCAAATTTTACCTCTCTGTAGATGATATGATCTTATATTTAGAAAAACCAAGATGATTCTACCAAAAATCTCTTAGAACTGATAAACAAATTCAGTAAAGTTCCAGGATACAAAATCAACAGACAAAAATGAGTAGTGTTTCCATACACCAATAATGAAATAGCTGAAAATAAATCAAGAAGGCAATCCCATTTACTATAGCCATAAAAATTACCTAGGAATAAATTTAACCAATGAGGTAAAACACCTCTATATAAAGAAAAGTAAAAAATACTGATGAAAGAAACTGAAGAGGACACAAAAACTATGGAAAAACATCCCATGCTCATGGATCAGAAGAATATAGTTAAAAATGACTAATACTCAAGGCAATATACATCAATGAAATCCCTATGAATATACCAATGTCATTTTTCACTGAAATATTATAGGAAAAAAAATCCTCAAATTCACATGGAATGAAAAAAGAGCCAGAATAGCCAAAGCAATCCTGAGTAAAAAGAACAAGTCTGGAGGCATCATATTACCTGACTTTAAATTATATAAGGCTATAGTAACCAAAACAGCATAATATTGGTATAAGAATAGAAGTATAGACCAATGGAACCGATAGAGAATCCATAAACTAATCCACATGTTTACAGCCAACTAATCTTGTATAAAGCTATCAAGAACATATATTGGGGAAAGTACACTGTTTTCAATAAATGGTGCTGGGAAAACTGGGTAACCATATACACAAGAATGAAACTGGATCCCTATCTCTCATCATATGCAAAAACCAACTCAGGATGGATTAAAGACTTAAACATAAGGCCGAAACTATAAAACAAGAAGATAACAAAGCAAAAACCCTTCAGGACATTGTTCTATGCAAAGATTTTATGGTTAAAACCTTAAAAGCCTAGGCAACCAAACAAGATAGATAGATGATATTATATGGGACTATAATGGGCACAGCAAAGAAACAATCAACAGAGTAAAGATGATGACCTCTTGAATGGAAGAAAATAATTGCCAACTACTCATCTGAAAGGGCAGAAGAAAATGCTTGCCAACTACTCATCTGAAAGGGCACTAATATCCAGACTATACAATGAACTCAAACAACTCAACAGTAAAAGATCAAATAATCCCACTAAAAGTTGGACAAAGACATGAATAGACATTTATCCAAAGAAGACAGACAGATGGCCAACAGGTATATGAAAAATGTTCAACATTACTAATCATCAAGGAAAGGCGATTCAAAACCACAAAGAGTTATCATTTTACCCAGTTAGAATGGCTATTTTAAAAGGACAAAAAAAAAAAAATACCGAAACCACCACCACCCCACCAGATACTAATAAGGATTTGGAGAAAAGGGAACTCTCATACACTGTGGGAATGTAGATTAGTACAGCCACTATAGAAAACAATATGGAGTTTTCTCAAAAACCTAAAAATAGAACTACCATATAAATCAGCAATCCCATTACCAGATATGTATCCAAAGGAAAAGAAATCAATATATCAAAGGGATCCATGCAATCCATGTTTATTGCAGCACTATTCATAATAGCAGAGATGGAATCGACCTAAGCATCCATCAATGGATAAGTAGATAAAAAAATGTAGAGTACTATTCCATCACAAAAAAGAATGAAATCATAACATTCACAGCACACAAATAAAACTGGAGGCCATTATGTTAAGTAAAATATACCAGGCATGCACTCACTCACACATGGGAGCTAAAAAAGTTGATAACATAGTGGTAGAAAGTGGAATGATAGATACCAGAGGCTGGGAAGGGTGTATGGGAGGGGAGCGGATAAAGAGAAGCTGGTTAATGGGTACAAACATAGTCAGATAAAAGGTTTAAGTTCTAACATTTGATAGCAGATTAGGTTGACTATAGTTAACAACAATGTATTATATTTTCAAAATACATAGAAGAGAAGACTTGAACACATAGAAATAATACATATTTGGGTGATGGATACCCTAAGTACCCTGACTTTATCATCATCACACATTTTGTGTCTGTAACAAAATTTCACATTTTGTGTCTGTAACAAAATTTCACATGTATCCTATAAATATGTACAGAACAATGTATCGAAAAATGTCACTTATTGTACTGAATTTAATGCCTGGTATTTTGACCACAAATTATAAAACACCATGAATAGAAATGATGATAATGAAACGGAAGTACTCCAAGAAAGGAGAGAAGGATTATAGAAGAAATATAGTTAAAACACATCACCCTGGGGCCAGTTTTCATAGGGGAAACTACTTATCCCTTTAAAAAGTTCTGGCATATGGATTTAATATTCAACAATGATGATTTTTAAACCACAAATATATTCCATTTAATAAGGCATGGAGCAATCTAGTTTATTTAGATTGAACAAAAATGAAAATTCAGCTTAAATATATAAACATTAATCAACCATAACGTTACATTTTGCTACTCTTTATTTTCCAATAATTTCCTTTAAAACATACTGTGAGTCTTTTAATATCATCGGCCAGAAACTTACACTTCCTAAATATGAAAATTAATTTTAAAAGATCATGGAATTTCCCTATAGTATTTTACATTAGTCAACATTAAAATCAGAGTCACTCTCTGGACAAAGTTTGTAGTAAAGAAACACAGAATTACCTTAAACATGTGCTTAATAAATCAGAGGGAAGGATATGCCCAAATGGCAAAGGCCAAAAAGGCCAAAAAGCCATATTCATGTGACAGCTAATAATAAAATGGTTCTTGACCTGGGGCATTTTTTGAAAAGCACAAATATTCTTTTCTTAAAAATGTATTCTTCCATAAATTATGTTCCTGTATACTCACATGCTATAGTATTCATCCTCTCATTTAGGACTCCTGGGAGTTGGGCTTTTCTCCCAATAATGGGAAGTTACAAAGCCTCATATCTATGCTCAATTTTGTGTACACAATGTCAATCTTACAGGAGGTTCGCAGAGTATACTCAATGCTACTTTCCGATTGGACTCTGGTTTATTTCTTAGCACAGGTTATATATTCAGACTACAGGAGTCACTGTGGGAGCAAAGTATGTGTAAGTTGGTCTCTTTGCCTGCCTGCCTGGCTATTTATCTATCTATCATCTACATAGACCCTCCACTGACCTCTCATAAGAAGAGAGAACAGAAAATAGCAAGGTTTTCCATCCTATACAGAAAACAAATAAATAGTGCACATAGAAGGGAGGCTGTCCTACACTCTGTTCCTAGGTCTTAAATATCCAGATGAAAAAAGTCTGATGGAAACACCAGCAGCTGGAATGCTGCTGATTTGTCTCATTTCTATTACTTAAATGACCTACAACAGCACCTTCTTCAGTGTCTTGGAGAAAGAGTCCCTCTTACCAGGGCTCTCTGCCTGTGTTCCTGAAACCATTCCTTTCTACCTGCTTTGAAATCTTGTTCCTTTCTCTCCTAAAATCTTCATTCTCTCCCTGTCCACTGATATGTTGCTTTCTCATTATTTTACTACTCAAAAAAAAATTCCAGCATCAAAACAAGGAACTTTACCTTACTCTAAATTCTCTCTGAATCCATCCCTTTTTGGTTATCAAACAAAATTGTTGAAAAATCTCTATTTGCTGTCTTTACCTAACTTCCTTTACTCCTCAGTATATGGTAATTTAGCTTATACATGCATTGTTCTTAAAAAGGAGCTTAACATTATCAAAGGTGTATTCATACCCACTGGCTGTGGATTCTTTCTCGAACTTCTGAATCATTTGCCATAGATGACTTCCCTCCCCACCTACCCAGCGCTCCATTGCATCATATTGTGGAGCGCTTCTCTCCTGACTCTTCACCTACCCAACAGT